GTTATACACTGAAATGGAGACTCTAGGAAGAGCCTGTCTAAGCAGAAATAGGGGGAGTTTGGTTTTTGAAATCTTAATTTTGTGATGCCTTATAGAAATCGAACTGGGGGGGCGCCTGGGTGGCTTAGTCGGTTGAGCGTCCGACTTTCGCTTGGGTCATGATCTCGCGGTTCGTGGGTTCGGGCCCCGCATCGGGCTCTGTGCTGACTGCCAGCTCAGAGCCTGGAGCCTGTTTCAGTCTGTGACTCCCTCTCTCTCTGACCCTCCCCTGCTCATGCTGTCTCTCTCTCTCTCTCTCTCTCCTAGAAATGAATTAAAANATCGAACTGGGGATGTTAGGTAGGCTGTTGAATATATGAGATTGAGTTTGGAGACTAGGTCTTGGTTAAGGATGTACATTTGAAGGTCAAAGGCATATAGATGGGATTGAAAGTAATAAGACAGGGTAAGATCACCAATATGGGGAGTAGAGATAGAAAAGAGGTTTGAGAACTAAGCTTTGGTATGTTTAGATGTAAGGGGATGAGAAGAACCAGAAAGGAGACAGAGAGAACCATCAGGCCAATAAGCAGAATGCCAACAGAGTACAAACTAAGGAAAGGAGATTCAAAAAAGTTTGTCAGGGGGCGCCTGGGTGGCTTAGTCGGTTAAGCGTCTGACTTTCACTTAGGTCATGATCTCGCGGTTCGTGGGTTCGAGCCCCGCGTTGGGCTCTGTGCTGACTGCCAGCTCAGAGCCTGGAGCCTGTTTCAATCTGTGACTCCCTCTCTCCCTGACCCTCCCCTGCTCACGCTGTCTCTCTCTCTCTCCTAGAAATAAAACATTAAAAAAAAAAAAATTAAAAAAAACAAACAAAACAAAACAAAACAAAAAAGTTTGTCAGAGCGCCTGGGTGGCTTAGTCAGTTAAGCGTCCAACTTAGGCTCAGGTCGTGATCTCACAGTTCATGAGTTCAAGCAGGAACATCCTCTGTCCCCCTCTCGCTGCCCCTCTCCCGCTTGCATTCTCCCCAAAATAAATAAATATTTTTTTAAAAAACTTAGTTTCTTTTTTACTACTTGTCTACTTGTGGTCACTTCATTACCTGTCAGGTGTCTTGACCCTATTTTAGCATGACCCATTATTTTCTCTCAAATAATAATAATAATAATAATAATAATAATTCTTTCTAATGATCCATTACTTTTTTCTAAAACAATAATAATAATTAACAACAGTAATAATTATTATTTTCTGAAAGTGTTCATTTTCTAGAATTCCCTTCCCTATGCTCTCAACAATTTTCCATCTCGGTTCAGTCGAAAATCCTCCAGGAAGGCTTTGCCGAATCCCCTCCCTGGCCACACCTTCCCTAGTTTGTGCTCTCTTAGAATCTAGTACATACCTCGTTTTGATTTTTTTTTTCTTTCCAATACTCATCACAGGACACACTGTCTTTTTTTTTTTTTTTTGGCCAGTTTTGATCTACTGTTAAACTGTTAGCTCCTCAAAATTAAGAGGATGTTTAATTATTTCTTTTCTGTCTAGCACATGATAGGTACTCATGAATTATTAGTTGAATAAGCAATAAATACACACATACATATGTACATATGTACATATGTAGACAAGAAGCAGGTACTTATAGAATGGGTTTATTAGCCAGAGTGAAACCATGTGAAGAGGAAATAGGAGCAGAAACTTATATGAGAATTAAGTGAAGAGAAAACAGGTGAATGCCTCTCAGTTTGGACAGACCCAAGTCAACTGAAATGGTCAATGGGTGCAGGGTAAAAACAATGATGAGTCACTAATAAATCCAACGACCCCACCACTGATACATTAATTTCACGTGTGATGTATACACTATGCCTGAAAACTGAGGAGCAATGAAGTCTATATTTATAGTCTTGATGATTGTCACTGCCTCTGTTTCACGACAGGTCAGCAAAACCTGGTGTAAAGTTGGGACAACTATGCTCTGAAAAGATTACATCACCCAATGTACATTTCTTACCTTGAGAGTGAAGAAGAAATCTTATCTGAAAAATACTTTTCATTTTTAACATCTAGCTCTTTTTCTCATCTCCGTCCTAGGAAAACAAAATCTAAAATCACATTTGCATTTGTAGCCCTGGACTCAGGGTAACACATCCCTCCTCCACCCCCACAGCCCACCCCAACAATTCCTAGGTCTCCAACACCTACCTAAGCATTCTCAACCTTATTCAAATTGCTTTCCTGGGCAAAGAATGTAGTTAAGTCTGCCTTCTAGCTAACCAGCCCCCTTCCCTTTGGTCTTTCTCTCCGGAGGCTCTGACCCTGGATACAATAAGACACAGATGGGGGATGGGGTGGCTTCAGCCCAGGCTTTCATGCAAAGGCCAAAGAACAAAGCTTCTGGTGCCTGTAGTTTAGAGAGCTGAGGGCAAAGTCAGGTTTTTGGTGGTCTTGACTGTGCTCCTTTCCCAGCTGTGCGAATTGAGAGGCAGGAAGCTAAGTTTTCCACTTCTTAATTTACTTTTCTGCCAGTTTTTATTGAGATGTGATTGACATGTGACTGCATTCGTTTAAGGTACACATCATAATGAACTGATATATGACATATTGCAAAATGATTACCACAGTAAGTTCAGTTCACACCCATCATCACATTCCCTTTTATAAAATAAATCATATTCTATGGGGCGCCTGGGTGGCTCAGTTGCTTAAGCGTCCAACTTTGGCTCAGGTCATGATCTCACAGCTCGTGGGTTTGAGCCCCGCATCGGGCTCTGTGCTGACAGCATGGAGCCTGGAGCCTGTTTAAGATTCTGCATCTCCCTCTCTCTGTCCCTTCCCAACTCATGCTCTCTGTCTCTCAAAAATAAAAAAAAAAAAAAAAAAACAAAAACAAAAAAAGAAATCATATTCTATTTGTAATGAGACAGAGCCTGTCTGCCTGAGTACCCTGGGTACCCACCCACCTTTTCCTTGACGCTCCTGTTGGTATTCTTTTCCCCTCCATTAGGATGGTCTGAAAAGACAAGGAAAAGATCACATAGAATTTATCTCCACGCTCTGGTCCCCGTACGGAGACCATGCTCACAAAGTGGCATCCCCGAGTTATGAACAAAACTCTCTGCGTGGAAGCAAAGCCACCAGCTCCAGGAGGTGGCCCATGCAGCAGAGAGTGTGATAAAGGTAGTCAGCCTTGCAGCACAGAGAAACATGCAGTTGAATTTGCTAAGGGTTTGCTTTTAGCAGTGGGACATTGGAAAAGAGGAAGAAATATTTGGCTTCTCCAATATTACTTTTTTTAATGTTTATCTTTGAGAGAGAGAGCAAGTGGGGGGAGGGCACAGAGAGAGGGAGACACAGAATCCGAAACAGGCTCCAGGCTCCATGCTGTCAGCACAAAGCCTGACCTTGGGCTTGAACTCAGAACCGTGAGCTCTTGACCTGAGCCAAAGGTGGACACTTAGCCCCTGAGCCAGCAGGTGCCCCAGGTTTCTCTAATACTGAATTAGGGAGTGGGGAGGAAAATGGAAAGCTGAAGACTGTTATCTTGGTCTATAAATATGGCACTGCCAGACACCCAACCCTAAAAACTGCTCCTTTGGAAAACTAACTGAAAATAAGCAAAGAAATAAGTTGAGCCTGGGGTGGAGTAGGTTTGCAGGACAGGACACTATTGCCGGGCCAGAGAAGGAAAAGCTAATGTAAAAAAGAGCCAGAGAAGGGAAAGAAAGGCCAGAAGAGGATGTTTGCTTAAGAAGAGATGGGAGGTCAACACCGGTTCCAAAAGAAATTCGTCACGTATGCGTCAGCAAATCCGTTCCCAGAAACACCATTGGCTTAGAAAATGTTCTTCTCTACCTCCCTCTTTTCAAATGGGTTGGTTTACAGGTCAACAGATTTCATTATTTGACATCTAGGAATGTCCCAGATAAAATAAGAAGGGGGTGCTCAATCTATCATGTTGTTCGCGGGATTAAAATAATAATCATGACAAAAACGTAATTTCAAACCTGGAGGCCATGAGCATAGGATAAAGATAAAATTTCTATTAATAGCCCCCATTTGTAGATCACTGAGTGTCCACTACTATGAGGATTTAGCACTTTATTTTTACAGCAACACAGAAAGGTACAGATGAGGAAACGGAGTCGAGATTCTATCCAGCAACGTGTGTGTGAAAAACCACTGAAACTTTTTCCAGGCTGATGGCGTGTGCATAATTACCTACAGGGCACCAAAGTCGGCAGTGCATCCGAGGACCCCGGGTCCCTTCCTCTGGCTTTTGTTAAAGGAGACAACAGTCCTGGGGGAAAGACTTGGCCTGTGTCTCTGGAAGATGCAAAACAAGAAGAAGGCGTTGAAAACAAGTCCTTTTTTTTAACATCAACTGAGCCTCAGCAACATACAATGTGTGTTTTATTGTGACTAAGGAGGCTCAAGAGGAAACAAGAGCGACTGTGGTTGAAGTTTCCGCCATACTTAGCTCTATGTTGAGACCCTGAGGGGTCTTAGATCAAGATATTAATTGTCCTAGTGGGAGATTCAATCCCCCGAGGTAGCCTCAGGTGCATCTTTGATTTTAAACGATGGAACAGTGGTGAACCCAGAAATCTTGAATTGTTGGGTTTACTTTTTCTCCCAGGTTCTGTGACCCCAGTTTTCCCATTCCCCACCCAGTCTGGCCTACCCGGCAGCTACCTTTTGCATTACAATGGCCTTGGTGAGGCTGGCAGACAGGATTAACTGGGAACTCATGAGGGTGTGTGTGGGCGTGGGGCTGCCGGGAGGGGCGGGCCTAAGGATGGGCGAGCTTTCCTTATAAGTCTAGGGCCACCAAAATTTTCACCTTTTGCTAAATTGGGTTGGTAGGTACTTGGCTATCAAGTTCGGTGGTGACACCACTTCATCCCGGCTTTCTGATACTCTTAGATCTGGAGATCTTCAGGTTTCTCTTAAATTCTTCCATCTGGACACATAAGCCTGTATCTCCCTCTCTTTGTCTCTTCTCTCAACTTAGCAACATGAGCTCGGATCCAGCTGAGCCCCAATCCCCACCTCGCCCCGAAGCACCCGGTTCTCAGGATGCTCCTACAATGCCTGAGATTTATGGGCCTCAAGAAAATTACGCACCCTTGCAAATGTCATCCGCTGAGACCCCCCCCACGGAGACCGGTAAGAGAAAATTCATCCTTGAAAGGCTGATTTCCTGGAGGGAGAGTGAAATTTTGAGGGGAAGGGTCATTTCGTTTCCCTCATGAGCAATTACAGCCCGTTAATAGAAGCAGGTGGCATCTATTAATCCACTCAACACCTGTCCCAGTTGTAACTTGGTGGTGTGTGCCCTTTCACCCAGGTCCCAGGTAAGAGACAAGGGCCACAGGACACCTCATTTCAACTGCTCACTGGATATTTGAGAGGTTACATGCATAGGCACTGTGGAAACCCAAATGTGTTGTGATCAAGGGGTTGATGTATACATCTTTTAAAAAAAATTTTCTTAAATGTTTATTTTTGAGAGAGTGTGAGCAGGGATAGGGAAGAGAGAGGGAGACGCTGAAGCAGGCTCCAGGCTCTGAGATGTCAGCACAGAGCCTGACACAGGGCTCGAACCCACGAACTGAGAGATCATGACCTGAGCTGAAGTCGGACGCTTATCCAACTGAGCTGCCCAGTCACCCCTTAACAGGCGGAGTGCTGAGCACAGTAAATATTACTATTAAGCCAAAAGTCCTAACATCACAGCTAGGGGTAGGGGATGTGGTGAGCAACATCTTTTTGATTTGTCGGGGTTTCAAGGAGTACCAGAAATGACGTGGCTAATTCTGAAACTCACCTTGTTGAAATGTTCTACCTTCCTACGATAGCGGCAGCTGGCTCTTCCTCTTTGGCTCTGTGGGTGTTAACTAAGGCGGTTCTGAATTTCTGAGAGCCTGCTATGCTCACGTCTCCTATATCCTGAAGAACTGTTTGCCCCATTTTATGGTAGAAGACCCCAGAAGGTTTAAGCTGCTGGCATTCAGTGGCTAGAGCCCAAATTCGAAACCCAGCTGGGCTTCTAAATGGTACCCGCAGGTGCGGGGCAGGATCAGGACACTGTAGAGGCGGCACCACTTTTTTTGTCGATCAATTCGGCGGTGGTTGTTAAGCCTGAAAATGTAAACAAACTTTTACCCAAGAATAACCACTTTCTAGATTTATGGTAAAAATAATCAATTAAAAACTCTTTACATGATGATTACCCCTAAAACTAAGCTGTGGAGAAGGACTAAGAACTGCTTTATTGCAGTGTTAGATTTTAATGTTCCCCTGTTTTCCTAAAACTTCATGTTAATGCCCTTTTACAATTCCAAACGTTGAAAATAACAGCACTGTATGGTGAGAAATTGCTTGGGAATGAGCAAGTGAGTGTGTCCTCCTCAGCAAGCCAAGTGCAAGTTTGTAGAGCTCATTTTTTAGGAGATGCCTCCACTGCGTTCATTGGCCTCCCCCTCCTTTCCTTTGATCTACCTTTCAAGAAGCACAAGATTGTGAATTGCTGCCCCGGAAAGCCTGTCTCTATTCCATGACTAGGGTAGAAATTAAGAGTTTAAATGGCTACGAAATCTAAGCAATATAATAGTTGCTTTTTTATTTGGGAAAGAGTGCAAGTGGGGAAGGGGCAGAGAGAGACCGCGACAAATATCCAAAGCGGACTTGGTGCTGGACAGCAGGGAGCGCAGTGCTGGGCCCTGGAACTCACCAACGGTGAGATCAAGACCTGAGCTGAAGTCACACATTTAACCGACTTGAGCCACACCGGTGCCCCTGAACTGTGGATTTTAAAAGGTCTCCAGAAACTGACCCTACACTATTGTTAAGTATGATGTAGGTGATGATCAAGTTTACAAAAGGGAGTTAGGAAGGGACATGATGGGGGGGGGATCTCCCCTGATCATCCCCACCTTTCTGAATAGCCACAGCATGGGCTCTTGAGCATCAATTTGCAGTAGAAAGCTTTTGTCAAAGAGGCTTGAGGAGCACCTGGCTGGCTCAGTCCGTCCAGCATGTGACTCTTGATCTCAAGATTGTGAGTTCGAACCCCATGTTGGGTATAGTGATTACCTAAAAATAAAATCTTGGGGCACCTGGGTGACTCAGTGGGTTATGTCCAGGATTTCAGCTCAGTTTGTGGGTTGGCTCCCCCAAGTCCCACCCAGGTGCTCAGGTCATGATCTCACAGTTTGTAAGTTCAAACCCGCATCAGCTCTGTGCTCAGCCTGGAACCTGCTTCGGATTCTGTGTCTCGCTCTCTCTCCGCCCCTACCCCACTCTCACACACACAAATACACACACTCTCTCTCAAAAATATTTAAAAAAAATTTTTAAATGTTTTACTTATTTTTGAGAGAGAGAGACAGCGTGAGCAAGGGAGGGTCAGAGACAGGGAGACACAGAACCTGAAACAGGCTTCAGGCTCTGAGCTAGCTGTCAGCACAGCCCGACGTGGGGCTCGAACCCACGAACCGTGAGATCATGATCTGAGTGGAAGTCGGACGCTTAACCGAGTGATCCACCCAGGCGCCTCTCAAAAATAAAATAAGCATTAAATAATTTTTTTTAATAAGTAAATAATATAAAATTTTCGAGAAAAAAAGTTTGAGTCTCATTCTGCTTCCCAACAAATAAGCTATTGGCCTGTCCCTTGGGTGTAAGATGGTGACAACTAGTACGATACTGGATTGGGCATCCCACAAAGATTGGCAAAGTGTTCAGGGGCACACAGAGTTAAATTTTTACTTACTCTCTGATTCTGAGGTTGTGAGGACTCTAAAAAACGCTTTGGCAACCATACAATTTGCAAATGTGATTTGCTATTTGAAAGGTTTTAGAGAAAAGTATCGTTTTACTCCCAACAGTCTCTCCTCTTCCTTCCTCCATGGACCTGCTTATTCAGGACAGCCCGGATTCTTCCACCAGTCCCAGAGTAAACGTGCTACCCACGTGTGCGGAGGAGGTCACGGTGAAGAGAGAAGACCCAACTCCGGGCAAGAAACAGAAGATCAGAACCGTATTCTCTCAGACCCAGCTATATGTACTCAATGATAGATTTCAGAGACAGAAATACCTCAGTCTCCAGCAGATGCAAGAACTTTCCAACATCCTGAACCTTAGCTATAAGCAGGTAGTTTGCTTCATTGTTCTTGCAGTGCTTAACAAAAAGGCTCATTTGCAGATGAGCAGTCCCAGCGTATGTGTGCTCTGTGCTTCTGTACCCCCTACAAATAATTTTCATAGGAAAGTAGGGTCTCTGTGGTGTTTCGCAACCAATCTTTTTTAATGTTCTATTGTGTTAATATGCCATGATTTATTTAACCACTTTAACCTGTTGCACAAGCCAAAATCGTGGGAATGCTGCCAATTTTTCCTTAATCAAAGGAGGTATATTTATTAGTCCCATCTTCCAGGTTAGGAGAGCCACTAACCAACCTCTCCTCATTTTCTTAAAAATTTTGTCTTTATTTTGAAAGACCGAGACAGCGAGCAGGAGAGGGGCAGAGAGAGGGAGACACAGAATCTGAAGCAGGCTCCAGGCTCTGAGTTGTCAGCACAAAGCCCAATGCAGGGCTCGCAGGGCTCACAGGGCTCGAATGCACTGATGTGAGATCATGACCCAAGCCGAAGTCAGACGCCCAACCGACTGAGCCACCCAGGAGCCCCTACACTGCTCTTCATTAAAATAAAAATGGAATCTCTTGTTTGGTGTGCATTTGATTCCTAGGGAGGCTAATCATTTTTCATATCCTTGCCTATTATTCAGTCAGATACTGTATGGTTTTCTTTCTTTTTCTTTTTTATAAGAGACTTAAAAGAATTTTTTTTAATGTTTTATTTTTGAGACCGAGACAGAGCATGAGAAGGGGAGGGGCAGAGAGACAAGGAGGTACAGAATCTAAAGCAGGCTCCAGGCTCTGAGCTGTCAGCACAGAGCCCAGCGCAGGGCTTGAATCCACGATCCATGAGATCATGACCTGAGCCGAAGTCAGACGCTTCACACCAACTGAGCCACCTAGGCACCCCCTCCTCTAAATTTAAGTTGTGTGCTGCAGTATAACTTGATATTTTCTGACTAGTTAGTTGTCCTTGTGGTATATTTCATAATTTTTGTGTGCTTACGGGGGAAGCTTTTTATTGTAAGCAAAGTCCCTTTGACGGACTACCGGCATGGGTAAACTATGAAAAGGGAGATAGGTAGACATTTAATGTGAACTTTCTAGAGTAGCTGGGTCTTCTCAAACTGGTTGGATTCATTTAAAATTTTTTTAATGTTTATTTCTGAGATTGAGACAGAGCGCGAGAGGGGGAGATACAGAAGCCAAAGCAGGCTCCAGGCTCTGAGCTGTCAGCGCAGAGCCTGATGTGGGACGTGGGGCTTGAGTTCAGACTGTGAGATCATGACCTGAGCCGAAGGTGCCCCTGGTTGGATTTATTTAAAAAGCAGCCAACTGACCTGAGGGACATTCATTCACAGTCGACTGTTTCAAGAGAAAGGACCAGAAGCTTCAGTTTCATTCCTGAGCTTTAGACGGTTGTAGTCGTCAAGGGGGGAGAGATTAACACTGTTCACTGGTGCCCAGTACATCCATATTGCTGGTGTTTTATGTTTGTCTTCCTGTCATCTGTTTCTTGGTAGGTTAAGACTTGGTTCCAGAACCAGAGGATGAAATGTAAGAGGTGGCAGAAAAACAACTGGCCAAAGAAGAACAACAGTGCCGCTCCGGTAATGGGAAACTCTTATTTTCCTCCTATCTTTTCTTTTTCTGAAGTAGGCTCCATGCCCAATGTGGGGCTTGAACTCCCGAACCTTAGATCGAGAGTCACACGCTCTCTATTGACTGAACCAGCCAGGCACGCCACTGCTTTCTGATTTTCTTTTTTAAAAGCTTTTTTTAATGTTTTGTTTATTTCTGAGAGAGAGCATGAGCAGGGGAGGGACAGAGAGAGAGGGAGACACAGTCTGAAAAGGGCTCTAGGCTCTGAGCTGTCAGCACAGAGCAAGACGCGAGGCTTGAACCCACGAACCGCGAGATAATGACCTGAGCCCGCGAGATAATGACCTGAGCCGAAGTCGGATACTTAACCGACTGAGCCACCCAGGCGTCCCTGCTTTCTGATTTTCAATGGCTTTTTTTTTTTTTTAGTTTTGCTCATTGCTAAAGCATTAGAACCCCAACCACAGACCATCCTGATTTTCCTTCTGGCCTTTCAGTTAATCTACCATTCTTTTCCAGAACAGCTCTGCAACTCCAGAATACCCAGGCTTCTATTCCTATCACCAGGGCTACCTGATGAACACGTCCAGAAACCTTCCAATATGGAGCAACCAGACCTGGAATGGCCAGTTGTGGGGCAACCAGACCTGGAACGGCCAGTCGTGGGGCAACCAGACCTGGAATGGCCAGTTGTGGGGCAACCAGACCTGGAACGGCCAGTCGTGGGGCAACCAGACCTGGAACAGCCAGAGCTGGTGCCCCCAAGCCTGGAACAGCCCGCTGCACGGCTGTGGAGAGGAATTTCCGCAGCCCCAGGTCCAGTTCCAGCAAAATTCCGTCAACGATTTGCAGTCCATCTTAGAAACGGCTGGGGAAAGCCACAGTGTCCTACAGCAAACCACTAAGTATTTTAGTGCCCAGCAAATAATGGATTTATTCCCAAATTACTCTGAACATACAGCCTGAAGGTGCGAGACAATGCGTATATTAATCACGCTCCATTGGGGGTGTGGCCGTATTACTTGTAGGATTTGTCTGTTAGGGTCCTGTATCTCTGCCTTGATATTATTTATTCCATCAGTCAAGGCGGTGCGGTTGGAATCTGATCAAAGAGGATTCCGTAGCCTCGGCTGCTATGCACAACATGCACACAGGCTATAGATAACTAGATATAATACGAACTTGGGTATTTTTAGGCTCCAGAGTTGAACCTTTGTAAACCTACAAAGACGTGTTGAAGGATTATTTGTGTTTTCTGAGGCTGGGAGGCTTGTTAACAAGCTCCGTTGTTAGGGTGGAGGGTGAAGTTAAAACCTCATCACGGATTTCCTCTGCCCCCTGTGCTGCTTTACCTACAGCTCCCAACTTGTTCGTTATTCCAGTAGTTGTAGAAAGTGGTTTTATATTTTAATGTATCGTGTAATAAGGCCAGTTTGGCCAGTGGTTTATAGGTTTAAGTACAAATAAATACCCACTTTATCTTTTAGTTGTCTCTACCCTGATTTCACCAGTAGCTCCAGGACTAAATATCTTGAGTAAACACGGGTCTTTATCAGAGTCTTTTGATGTGGGATGGACCAATTAACTGAAATCTCTGAAGATTCTGCTAAGAGGCTGCTCTTAGAAACCAGTAGAGGGACAAAAAAAGAGTAAAGAAAAGGTGATTATACAATGCTAGGTGACTGATCAACTTGACGAACTTATTTCCTCCTTGTGTGCATAATAGTATTGAAACAATAAAAATGGTTATTTGGAGTTAAAGAAGAATACCCCTTCTGGAAGATCAGGAGCAGAAAAGTGATACACAGAGCTCCTGGGTTTGTAAAGAGGCTTAAATAGCAGCCAGGGAAGAGGTAAATAATGGAAGGTAGAGATGAAGAAGGAGGGGGAAGGTATAACACACACAGGGAATGTGTCCACTCTGCGGGACAATTGTACCCTGCCAGCAAGAAGTGTGATAAGCTTTTAAGACATTTTTTAAATGCCAGCTTTTATTTAAAAAGGGACTTGTTAAATTTATGGGCCAACTTCAAAGCACACTTCAAGAGTTTTAAGGTATAAATCTAGGGACAACTGGGTGGCTCAGTCAGTTTAGGGTCCAACTCTTGGTTGCAGCTCAGGTTGAGCTCAGGTTTCTGAATTCGAGCCCTGCATCGGGCTTCCTGCTGGCAGTGCAGGGCCTGCTTGGGATGCTCCTTCCTCTCTTTCTGCTCCTCCCCTTTCTCTCGAATAAACTTAAAAAGTATAGGGGCACCTGGGTGGCACCGTCCATCAGTTAAGCCTCTAATTCTTGATCTCGGCTCAGGTCGTGATTTCATAGTACGGAAGTTCAAACCTCGAATTGGACTCTGCTTGGGATTCTGTCTCTCCTGCCCCTCCCCTGCTTATACTCTCAGAATAAGAAAGTGTAAATCCACAAATACATTTGTTAACATAAATTGGATCAGAGACATGTTTAAGTTCTGAGGCTACTTTGAAATAGACTTTTTTCCCAGGAAAATTCTGTTCTCCCCGCAGGAGACGCGAAGCAGGCATGACTAATACTCCCTTTTATGATCTTGTTTCATCCCAAGTTGACCTGAATCAGGGCACGGCTGCCACCTTGCCCCATGGCAACATCCACTTTCTGAACCAAACCTGCAGAGAAGGAGCAGTTTTCCTGGTCGTTTCTCTCATGGTTTTTCCCCAATTTTCCAACGTTGCTGCGCGACCATCCAAGTTACCTAGACATTGACAAGAGCCATCAGGGATCACTTCCGCCTACACCTAAGGACAACTATATTCTTTTCACTTGTCAGATAGTTGAGTTTCCTGCCAAGCACTAGATTATGAACAGTAGGTCATGAAAACAGAACCATTGATTGGACAATAATAGTACATGGAATCTCTAAATCCCCACTTTTTTAGCTTTGTTATTCAAGCAGATTGGAGTAGGACTTTTTTTTTTTTTAGTGGTTATTTTTGAGAGCACAAGTGGGGAGGTGCAGAGAGGGGACAGGATCTGAAGCAGGCTTGGTGCTGAGAGCAGAGAGCCTGATGCTGTACACCCAAACTGAGATCCTGACCTGGGCCCAACTGAGCCACCCAGACACCCTGAGTATATGACTTTCTAAAAGCATAATTTCACTGTTCTGCCACCTGGGTTTTTCATTTGTTTTAAATGTACTGAGTGAAGGAAAAATTCTTAAATTGAGATGAGAGGGTTTTGTTTTAAGATAATAGGTCACTAGGACCCTGGATGGCTGGCTCAATCAGTGGAGTTTGTAACCCTTGATAATCAGCTTCCTGAGTTCAAACCCCATGTTGGGTGTAAAGCTAACTTTTAAAAAGGAGGCACCTAGGGTTAAGTGTTCGACTTTGGCTCAGGTCATGATCTCCCGGTTTGTGAGTTTGAGCCCCGTATTGGGCTCTGTGCTGACAGCAGTGCAGAGCCTGTTTTAGAACCTCTGCCCCCTCTCTCTGCCCTTTACCCTCTCTCATTCTCAAAATAAACTTTTAAAAAAGGTAATATGTCACCAACATTTTTACGAAATCCCTCGCTCTAGAACTAAATGCACAGAACGCATTGCCAATACATATGAGGAAATACTAAAGGGTGGACCTGAACCTAAGACCTTTTGAAAATAAACCTTTATAAAGTGATAGTCTTTTTTTCTTTTAAATTCTTTTAAATTCTTGTTTTTTTTTGAGAGAGAGAACCCAAGTTGGGAGGGACAGAGACAGAGGGAGACAACAGAAACTTAAGCAGGCTCCAGGCTCTGAGCTGTCAGCACAGAGCCCAACGCAGGGCTCGAACTCACAAACTGCAAGATCATGACCTGAGCCAAAGTTGGATGCTCAACCGACTAAGCCACCCAGGCCCCCAAAGCGATAGTCTAGAAACTCCAAAGTTAGCTCTCCAGTACTGAACCTTATTGCTCATGACTATGTTTTTATACCCTTGGTGGCTGCTTGTTTCTGCTTTGGATTAAGTTGGGCTATAAGACATTGGGAAGAGGCAAGGGAATGGCTAAGAATTAAAGATGGAGAGCGTCAGAAAGAACACCTGTTCTAACTACAACATACTTGATACTGGAAATGAAAAGAAGGGAAAAAGACTGAAAGAAGAAAAAGAGGAGAAAGAATTTCTGGTGTTTAGCATTTTCTTTAGGAGATTAGCCATTCTGGAAATGCTACCTACTGTTTTCTTTAGGAGATTAGCCATTCTGGAAATTTACCTACTGTCTCTTCAAACGGGTGAATGTCGGGGCGCCTGGGTGGCTCAGTCGGTTAAGCAGCCAACTTCGGCTCAGGTCGTGAACTCACGATTTGTGGGTTCAAGCCCCACGTCGGGCTCTGTGCTGACAGCTTGGAGTCTGGAGCCCGCTTCAGATTCTGTGTCTCCCTCTCTGTCTGACCCTCCCCTGCTCATGCTGTCTCTCAGAAATAAATAAAACATTAAAAAAGTTTTTAAAATAAAAGTAAAATTCACTTTTTCTTCATTTTCAGCCTCCATTTCCCTTTCAGTTTGTACCTGAAAGGAAGAAGCACACCGGGCCAATTTGCCTGGGTCGTCTGAATTTCACAGCCTAGATTGAAAGCCTTAAAAGTGGTAGGATTAGGAGCCTTGCTCACTGAATTTCACGCACCTGGTTCTCGGGGTAAAGGACAAGTTTAATTCTGTTCTGAATAATCCCACTATTCAGAAAACTTGGTGTCTACAGGGGAAAAAAACAGACCACGACTGCAACCCTAAAGGTAAAGGCAGACAGCCGCCAGACGGGGCAGGAGAGTGGGGGCGGAACTTTAGTAAATACTGCATGCCCCCTGGGGCCGAGTGAGCTTTGCCTCAAGCAGGAGATAAAGAGAATTTGTTAAATAAAGAAGCCAATTGAGGCAGACAAAAGCTTCCAGGCAGGAAGTTAGTTCGAGTGAGGATGCTGAAATGTAGGCATTTGAATAGGTTCCTCTGTGTGAGGTTGCAGCGAAACCCGATTGAAAAGAAGGAGCAGCTGGTGGCAAGTCTTTGCTTCAAGGATTCCCAGTTTGTGGGAGGTTGATGGAAAACTGCGGTCCCAGAAGAAAGCGTTCCTGAGAATCGTAAAAGGTGAAGAAGCTAAGAAATGACTTCGAGGCAATGGTAGCACTACTTCCACAGACACGACCAAGCAAGCGATCAGAAAAGCTCACAGATCAAGTTAAGAAGCTAGAATCCTATGAAATCAATCTAATCAACCTCTCGTGGCACAAAGTATGGGGGATGAGATGAGTCACGCTCATATACTTTGGGACAGGGTGCAAGGGGGACAGAAAGGGGAGCGATGTTCATCTATGTCTCTAGTGCATGATGTGCTTACAAGGACGGAGGAGGAGAACCTGAGATCGAAGGGCCTGGTCCCTCAGAAGGACCCCAACACCATCACACGGGCTTGCTCTACCGCAGATCCCGCGGCAGGTGCTCCTGGCCGCCAGAGCAGCTCCCCTTAGCTTCATGAGCAGCTGTGGAATTGATTTTCACTGCGTGAGCATTATACATGTGGGGCTGGAATGGGAGTCAACGGTGGATGGCCAATTTCAGTTAGGATGTTCTTGGGGCACCTGAGTTGGTTGAGCGTCTGACTCGATTTTGACCTGTCATGATGTCATGGTTTCGTGAGTTGGTCGGAGCTCCCCTTCGGGGCTGACAGTGCAGAACGTGCTTGAGATCCCCCTCTCTCTCTGGCCCTGTCCTGCTTGCACTCTCTAAGTCTATCTCAAAATAAACATTAACAAAAATGAGTTAACAGATGTTGAGTGCCCCAGCCACCTCAGCTCCATGAGGATATTTAGTGTTAGGCTAAATAAGAGTATTAGGTACTTCCTCCCCCTTCCATTCCTTTCTGTGCTCTGTGCACATATGCTCTGCCTGTCGAAATCTACTGTGTCTTAGTGGCTGCTAATTTCTCAATAATTAATGTGCCTTATGTGTTACATAAATTTCAACTGTG